AGACGAAACGTTTCATTAAAGAAGAACCCGTCCAGAGGACCTATACAATTTTTTTCCTTTGATTTTTTACCTGGATTACTGAGATGCATCAGGACAGCATTAGGTTTGTTATTTTTATTTTTAAAGGTGCTCTTGTAGCACCTACTAAGATGGGAGCAGGAATTCTCACCTCGTGAGCACAGTCTGAGCTGCGTTTGGCCGTTTCAACACGTCTTTATTTCTCTTTTGTTGATGTTCCACAGAGGATTGTGAGCATTGCCATGAGCACCCCTCTGCCTCGAGCATGGCTCATCATGATCCAGAACCAGCTGGGTCTGCACAACCAATCAAAGAACGTCCAGGAGAAGAAGTGGCAGCTCGCCTGGCCCAACAGGACCAGAAAGATAACAACCTCCTGGCATGTAGGGTTACAACACACACACACACACACACACAACACACAACACACGTCTGGTTTTCATATCCCGATGGGGACTGTGGATTGACTTCCATTCAGGTTTTAGAAATTTTATAGCCAAACCCTGATCATTTACCCTAAAATTAACCTCACAGGTACCTACCTGACCCTAAGATTAACCTAAACTCAATTCACACCTTGGTCCTAAACCTAACCCCCAACCCGTAATTTGCATTCGAACCCGTGGGGACCAGGCATTGGTCCCCATGACGCTGCTTTTTCGAGAAAATGGTCCCCACGATGTAGGAAAAATGTGTCCACGCACACACACATCCTTGTATTTGCATCAAACTGAGGACTTTGTATTGACTTCCATTCATTTTTGTAACTGTGTTTATCCCTAACCCAGACATTTTCCCTATAATTACCCATTACTGGTCTATAGTTAACCCTAACCTGAACCAGAACTTAACTCACACCATACCTCTAAACCTAACTAGTAAAATTAACCATTACTGGTCTATAGTTAACCCTAACCTGAACCAGAACTTAATTCACACCATACCTCTAAACCTAACTAGTAAAGTACAGCAGAGCACTGCATTATATATACAAGCACAGTATTATAAGTAAGTAAGTAAAGTTTTATTTATATACTGTAGTGCCTTTCACAGGAATAAATATACACAGGTTACTGGTAATTTGAATTTTATGCTTTGTAAAATAAAAAAAAATGATCGTATTATACTGAAGATTGTATTATACGTGAATAAATATGGTATATGAATCTGGAGAACAACTTTTCTGTAAGTTTTGTACAAAAATGTTTCTGTTCATGTTTCTGACTCGCATCAGAAACAGAGAAAAATATTTCTATTGACACTATTGACCACACCATTCAAAATCTGAATCAATATGGCATCAGCACTACAGTGGGTATCTAGTTATTTGAAACATAGCAAACAGTTTGTTCAGGTAAATGATGTAAGATCTGAACTCTGTAATATGACACGTGTAGGTCCTCAGGGTTCTGTACTTGGACCAAAGGTGTTTATTTTGTGTGTGAATGATTTGGTTGTTGTGTCTGTGCTTTTAAAGTGTATTTTATTTGCAGATGATTAACAGATGTTAGGGATGATTCAGAGTTCGTAAAAAAAATACAAACAGTTCCAGCTAACTAAGTTTAAATTTGAACAAAACTAAATAAAGTAATATTTATTGACGTCCAATTTAGAATCAGAATCAGCTTTGTCATTCACACACAACATTAAAGATGAAATGCAGAACGAAATTTGCAGATTAGAATATCCGTTCAGGAGAAAGACACACATGACAAACATTGGGGTGAATGGATGAACAGGTCTTGCACATCACGGTCCCACTACATTTTGCAGCTTGGGAAACAAAAACAATGGGAGAGTGCGAGAGAGTAATGGTGGATTCACACCAAATGCGTTTTGAGCTGCAGGAGCAGCCAGTTTAAATGCAAAGTCTGTGGTGGACGCGCCTCTAGGGGTCGTGCGGCACATCACGTCTGCTCTGTGTCCTGGTCTGAACATAGTGTGTCCTGGTCTGAACGTAGTGTGTCCTGGTCTGAACGTAGTGTGTCCTGGTCTGAACGTAGTGTGTCCTGGTCTGAACGTAGTGTGTCCTGGTCTGAACGTAGTGTGTCCTATTC